GGCGGGTGAGCTGCTCTTTGCCCTCCTTAAGGCCCCTCCCCTTAGGCTCAGGGCCTCCCACAACTGCCCTTTACTTCTTCTTCATTATCTCCCCTTCTCCACTGGATCCTTTCCATCAGCATACAAACATGCTGCAATGTTTGCTGTCTTGAAAATAACCAAAATCGGGGCGTCTGGGTGGCTCAGTCGATTAAGCGATTAAGCGTCTGACTTTGGCTCAGGTCACGATCTCACGGTTTGTGAGTTCGAGCCCTGAGAACAGCTCTGTGCTGACAGCTTGGAGCCTGGAGCCTGCTTTGGATTCTGTGTCTCCCTCTCTCTCTGCCCCTCCCCCTCCCCCAAAGTAAATAAACATTTAAGTAAAACAAAATAAAATAACAAAAACAAAAACTCCCTTACCTTCAAACCCCTTCCAACTGCATTCTCCTATTTCCGTTCCCCTTCATAACAGAACGTCTCGAAAGAATTGCCTATATTCTCCTCTCTCGTGCTCTCCTGAATCGGTCTCATTTAGACTCAATTCCTTACCACTCCACAGGAAACCGCCCTTGTCAAGGTTGACAATGACCTCCACGCGGACCACTTGAGTGGTCAACGCCCTCGTCTTCCCACTTAGGTCACCCGTGCTGGGCGCACTGGGACAGTCCCCTTTCCTGAACACTTTGCTCGTTTGGCTTAGGAGACGCCATTCTTCTTCATTCCTCCTCCTACCTCTCAGTCCCCTTTGAGGGCTCCCCTCTCCCTTCTTGACTTCATGACAGCGGTTCTCAACGCCACTTGCACATGAGAACCACTTGGGCTGTGTCCACACAATTCCGATCCCTGGGCCCTACACTAGATGCTCGAGCCAGGAGCCCTGAGAGGAAGGCCTCGATAATCACTGTGTGTTTTCAAAAACCTCTGAAGGTGACCGTGGGAAGGACCACTGCTCCGCACATGGCCGTGGCTAGCCTAAGGTGCTCCGGCTTCTCTGACCTTCTCCATCCATACCCACCTCTTAGATGATGGATCCCATGCTGGTGACTCTCGGGTGTGCCTCTCCACCTTACCTTTCTCCCACACTCATACTTTATATACCTCACTGCCTGTTAGGCAACACCTCTCTAAATGAAGAAACAATTCCCAAAAAGTCCTTTTGGCAACAAGAATCCCCATTACTCTAAAAGCCCTTTGAATTTATTTTTTGACCACTTCACCTGTTTTTGGCATATGCTCAATAAGTGACAGTGACCAGTAAACTGTTCATGGTTCACAGAAGCAAGGTATGAATTCCCTCAGATTGAAATATAATGTAAATGAAATGAACCAGACGATTCTGCAGGTAGAATACAAAATGGCGCCTGCAACTTACAAGTTAAAGTGAATTCCAGATTAAAATGAAGAATTATATTGCACTGATTCACTGGGAAATGCCAGGGAACAAGAGTGTGTTATTTTGTAACCTGGAACGAGGCAAAGAATATTCTTAATGTTTTAGGTCTCATTCAGGAGAAACCCCAAACCAGAAATGTCTTCTTCAATCATCAAAACATAGTAAGCACTGATCCAGGGCTCAGAAGAACTGGTCCAGGTCCGAGCAGTTCCCAGTTTCCGGCAAGTCAAAAACTCGCATTTCTTCTATCTTCCGTAAAAAGCGAATATGCGTGCACTTCCAACCTTCAAGGGGTTTTGTGTGGTTGAACTGAGTATTTTTGGTAATACTCCTCTGAAGATTATTCAAAATGATGTTACATTTATTATAATTGTACAACTTCATGCTCTATTTAATAACAAATTATTTTAAATAATGCTGTGTTAACAATTTATCACAGAGACCTAGGAAAAGAAATCTAAAAATTTGGAATGTCTCATATTTAAGGTTCCAATTTTCCCCACAATAATCACAAGGGTGATTTTGCAATAAGCCCATGTCCAAGGTCATAAGACTACCAAGAAATTCCTTAAAGTTGGTCATTTCAAGTTCATTTTATTTTAAAAAAAAATTTTTTTTTAACATTTATTTATTTTTGAGACAGAGAGAGACAAGCATGAACGGGGAAGGCGCAGAGAGAGAGGGAGACACAGAATCAGAAGCAGGCTCCAGGCTCTGAGCCATCAGCCCAGAGCCTGACGCGGGCTCGAACTCACGGACCACAAGATCGTGACCCGAGCTGAAGTCGGACGCTCAACCAACTGAGCCACCCAGGCGCCCCTTCAGGTTCATTTTAAAGTATCTTCCTTCTGCTATGTATTATTATTATTATTATTATTATTATTATTTTAATTCTGTAGATTCTTTTTTTTTTTTCAACGTTTTTATTTATTTTTGGGACAGGGAGAGACAGAGCATGAACGGGGGAGGGTCAGAGAGAGAGGGAGACAGAGAATCGGAAACGGGCTCCAGGCTCTGAGCCATCAGCCCAGAGCCTGACGCGGGGCTCGAACTCACGGACCGCAAGATCGTGACCTAGCTGAAGTCGGACGCTTAACCGACTGCGCCACCCAGGCGCCCCTGTAGATTCTTTTTGAAAGAAGTCCAATTAGGCAAAGTTATTCCTGCCTTACACCTACCAAATCATTGTAAAAACTACTTTCTTCCCAAAGTTTTTAGCAAATTCAGGTTTTCATTAAATTTTTAAATAATCTTTAAGAAACACTTTTGTTTCAAGATGTAGTGAGAATTTCAATGATGCTCATCTTTGGACCACATCTAGGTCCAGAATTACCTGATTCCAGTCAGACTTCATGACCTTTAGGTTATATATCCTGTAGCTAGCTTTATGCTCTATTTCTGGGTGATACCATTTATTCTTCAAATTAACTGTTTGACCTGGACATTTAATCCTCAGTTGCTATGATAGGAAACCCAGTGAAGATCAACCATATTTACGAACTGTCTGATTTTTTTTTTTTTAACTAGGCTTCACATCCAGTGCGGAGCCCATTAAAGGGCTTGAACTCAAGACCCAGAGATCAAGACCTGAGCTGAGATCAAGAGTCAGACGCTCAACTGACTGAGCCACCCAGGCGCCCCGAAATATCTGGATTTTTTAATGAAGAAAATAAAACATGTCCTTCGCAATTTCTTGGAAACTCGGTATCTGTTAATTCATGCCTCCAAGTAATCCTGACATTTTAACATAGTTCAAAGTGAGAATTAGCCAGAATAATGAATCTATTACCCAAGTCTCCTCACAAACTCAAGTTTGGTTTTACAATAGAGACACTGAATGCTTCTGTCTGATCTCTCTCTTCCTTGTGGTTCCACAGGGCGTCCCCATATTTCAAACATGTCTGGCCCTAATGAATTTTTTTCTTATTATGGCCACAATCTGTTGTGGTGTCAGATTCACACCAGCTTTGAGGGCTTTGTGGTTCTCTTTTCAGCTTCAATCCTTTGCAGTTTCTGGAGTGTTGACTGAGAGCACAAAATAACTGGTCTGGACAGATCTGCAATACTATCGTGGTATAAACCAGATTAAACATTCAAAACAACTCCTTTCTTCTCTTGATCACTGAAGCAATGGAAGCCTAATATGGTGAAGGATATATATATATATATATATATTTTTTTTTTATCTGTAAGTCAACTTAAAACAAATGCACACCACCTTGAGAACAGACCTCCCCAGAACTTCCCAGGTCGAGGGCAGCCAGGGCCTCATCATTTTTAGTGTTGAGGTCACTGCTTGGGGCTATGTTTTCATAATTTATCAAGAAATTAATCAGCTGGGAAATACCCTCATGAGGGAAGATCTCCATGGTCTGCTCAGAGTCTGAAAATCCCCATAACCCTTCAAGGTAACATCATCTATATGATTTTTGTTAAAAGAAAAGGGTAAACTGACTTCTAGGTCACAGAGAGTCACACGAGCACCGCAATTTAATTTCTCCATTTCCAGATTTCTGTTTAAAAATTCTATGCCTTGGGGCACCCAGGTGGCTTGGTTGGTTGAGCGTCCAACTCTTGATTTCCACTCAGGTCTTGGTCTTGAGGTTCGGAGGTCGACCCTGCGTCAGGCACTGCACACACAGTGCAGAGACTGGTTAGGATTATCTCTCTCCCTCTCTCTCTGCCCATGCTCCATTCACATTCTGTGTGTGTGTGTGTGTGTCTGTCTCTCTCCCTCTCTCTCTCAAAAATAAATAAATAAACATTAAAAAAAAAAAAAAGACACATCTATACCAGGCATTCTGGAAAGGAAGAAAGGGTTGTATACTATACAACATTTCCTCTTCCAATGGCATTGTGTACTTTCTGTGTGGCGATTGGACTTGTTCTGTGGGAGTCTGATACCTGTCCTACTAAGGACACAAGGTACAAACCCAGTGTAAAGTGAGCTCCTCCCTGAAGGGAGGAGACATTCCAAGACTGGGGAGGAGAAATAAAATGGATCCCGGAAGATTCTTCTGCGAGAAGGAGCCCCTCTGTTGTTCCGGGTGTCGATCTTTTAGTTCTCTACTTGGAACAATCTCTTTTTTAAGGTTTTATTTATTTATTTTAAGAGAGAGAGAGAAAGAGAGCCTGAGGCAGGGGAGGGACAGAGAGAGAAAGAGAGAGAGAGAATCCCAAGAAGGCTCCATGCTGTCAGCAGGGATGTGGAGCTGGATCTCATGAACCGCGAGATCATGACCTGAGCGGAAATCAAGAGTCCGACGCTCAACCGACTGAGCCACCCAGGCGCCCCTGAGCAATCTTTCAGTGAGTGAGTGTCCCTCCTGGAGGTAGATTCAGAGATGCCCACTGTCCTGAGAGGCCAGGAGAAAAGCTCTGTGGGGAGACAACCGTGTGGAAACATCAATCTGAAGGTAACATCGTATTATTTTATGAACCAGATTATTTGATTTCATGTCCATCTTTCCATCTGTACCCTTTCTATTGCCTCTTAGCATTTATTTGAACTCTGAGTTAAGTGCTTAGCTTGGACCGATGCCAAGGTTGCCAAGGTGCCTAAGGCTCTAAAATCAAGTCTACAAGGCCTGCCATTTTTGTCCTCAGGAAAAATGTCCCTATTTAGAAACCCCAGGATCTCTCTGGCGCCTGGGTGGCTCAGTCGGTTAAGCGTCCAACTTTGGCTCAGGTCATGACCTCACAGTTCACAAGTTCAAGCCCCATGTTGGGCTCTGTGCTGACAGCTCAGAGCCTGGTGCCTGCTTAGGATTCTATGTTTCCCTCTCTCTCTCTCTCTCTCTCTCTCTCTCTCTCTCTGCCCCCCGTCTCAAAAATAAATAAACATTTAAAAATATTTTTTTTAAAAAAGAAAGAAACCCTGGGTATCTCAGTTTTGTTACCAGCAGAGTTTAGTGGGCAATGCTACCACTTTTGGTAAGGTCAAGGTGCAAGAACTACAGGTTAAGAACATGCTACTTGGATTTGATTCAACTTCTACAGATAAGAAATTGTTGTGGAGCCGGAAGGTTTGCAAGGAAGCTCCTCCAAGCGGAAAGACAGAAGGGTGGTGGGACCCTGGACCATCAGGCAGCAGCCCTCCGGGGAGCTCGGCAACCGGCAAAAGGCAAAGGAAAAAGTCCTGGTGTGGAGGGCGCACCAAGCTGAGAAGCAGACACAGAAAGGTTCCCAGGCCTGATGGAGGCACAGACCCAAAGAAGCAGCACAGAAGGCAAAGTTTCATTGCTGAGGCTGACTGCAGCTCTGGAGCCAACCTCAGGCTTCTAGAGAGCTAGACAGATAACGGACATTCACATCCAGTGCTACACAGTAAGGTGGCTCCTCTGGAGAAGGTGATTCCTCTACGTTCTGATAGTTTGAGCCTTTTCTGTACACAAAGCATACATTACTTTTGACATTAAAAACAAGAACAAAAACAAAACACCAAAAAAGAGGAAGGAAGGAAGGAAGGAAGGAAGGAAGGAAGGAAGGAAGGAAGGAAGGAAGGAAAGAAAGAAGAAAGAAAGAAAGAAAGAAAGAAAGAAAGAAAGAAAGAAAGAAAAGGATTGGGGATGGGAAGGAGGAAGGAGGAAAGGAGGGACTCTGGTGTGTTCACCTCAGTTTCCCAATAAGGCAAGAGAACTCTCCATACATTCTCCTTTGCATTTACCAGCATCCCAGAGGCATAGCAGGGATGGACGGTGTCCTCATGGAGCAGTGATGGTGGCCAGGTGGGCAGTTATCGAGAGCACTTGAGGAAGATGGAATAACATCCCCTCCCTGACATGAAATTCCTAAAGACCGTGAAGGTTGGCGGGTTGGCCTGATGGACACATACTTGCCTAATGTCTTCCCAGAAGGCAAGACAGATATTTGTGTTTTGACCTGAGAAGATGGCCTCACCATTACCGCCCGCCTGTCTCTCCCCACCCGTTGCCAGAGGAAAATATTTTTTTCTAACTCGTCAAAGAAAAGATAGACACATTGCATTTCCATTTAATGTATCTAAGGGAGAAATAGAAATAGAAATAAAACCCACAAGGCAAATGCTCATCTATTGGTTCACAACAGAGTTGAAAGAGAAGGTGAGGATGTTTCGTTCACCTTGAACAATCCCCATACCCCTGGCTTTGCAGGTGTGAACTCACTTTTCAACTTCTTAAGTGCTCACC